CCCCTCCCTCAGAAATACGTGATGGGCTCAGATTGGTTAGCTGGCCCAGTGTGTTGTGATTCGCTAAACCGCCTCTAGTACGCGTCTGAACGTCACGCCCCTCACCTCAGCAGCATGTGCTCCGGTTGTATTGTAAACAATGGTATCGTCTATATTGCTTATCAGCCCGATTGAGACGTAGAGGATATTAGTGAAGAGGATCGCGCAGAACCTGTGCAAGCACGGCTCTTATTGGTATGTTTTTTTGATTGTTGTTGTCTCATACTTTTAGATACGCTGTTATTTGTAAATGCTACTGCTTCTGTTAGCTTTTAATATAAGGTTTTATTTAAAGCTGATTAAAGGATTAATACAGTACGGCAACCGCACACGTGTCCATGTATAACGTTTCTCATAGCTATGTGAAAATAAGTGTATAAATGGAACAGTTCATTGTTGGAGCTGAGCTGAATGAGAGAGAGAGAGAGATGCAGAGCGCGTGTACAGCAGGGGAGCGCGAGGGACAGTATTGAGAACCGCTGCTTTAGAACATTGATTTTGAAACTTGTGAATCCATTAGAATCGTTAGAAGACAGAATCGCGATTCATATATGAATAGATTTTTACGTGCACCCCTTGTTTTCTCTTCCTCTTCTCTAAAGCTGCGCAGCATGGCCTCGCCCCCTTCGTTGCATGTTTCCGGGGGCGGGGTTTGTCTGTGTTTGTGATGTCACAAACCCGGGAAGTAACTTGTTGTAGTCCCTATGAGCCGTTTTTGTAGGCATTAAACTGCCAGAATTTTAAAAGACAATATCTCCATTTGCATTGAAATTTCTTCTTCGTAACTTTGCAGATATTGTTTATGCTCAAACAGCAACATTACACACTCTCTTCCTCTTCTCTAAAGCTGCGCAGCATGGCCTCGCCCCCTTCGTTGCATGTTTCCGGGGGCGGGGTTTGTCTGTGTTTGTGATGTCACAAACCCGGGAAGTAACTTGTTGTAGTCCCTATGAGCCGTTTTTGTAGGCATTAAACTGCCAGAATTTTAAAAGATGATATCTCCGTTTGCATTGAACTTTCAGGGCCGCAACTTTGCAGATATTGTTTATGCTCAAACAGCACCATTACACACTAACTAACGTTAAAAAAGGAAAATCGCAATCAACCACCCCTTTAATTTAATTCAATCAAGTATATTTAGGTTTATAATGGCTCTGGTTCTCACCTTATTGATGAACAGGAAATGTAGTTTGCGAGTAAAGCTGCAAATTATTTAATTAACGTCAGTGGCCTCCGTAATAATTCTCGGATACATACAAGTGAAAATCAATGCACAACAAATTATAAATTAATTCTTATTAATTATTCAGCAGAATATTAGCGAAAGTGGTTTTCTTTGTTATCTCGTACATGACGTAAGCGTGCTCCGCCCAGGAAAGATGATATCTATGATATCTAAGATGATACTGGTATCGGTATCGGGCCCGATACTGAGCTCATGTACTCGTTAAAATGCCCCGATACCAAACGCCAATACCACACAGCATGTGATAAGCGCCATATTCAAACAAAGAAACACCGACAACAGAACAACAGACAGCAGAAAGGAGTTAAGGATGTCTACTACGAAGTATATGTATGCAATGAATATCAGCGTTTCCCCTGCCATTATTTTAGGGGGGCGGCCCGTCCCCCCCAACGGCACCCCCCGCTCCCCTTGAAAGTCAAGTTAATTTTATTTAATTATATTTTCTCTATAGCGCCAGATCACAACAGAAGTAATTTAAAGTTACCTTTCTTATAGAACATGTCTATACCTTGTTCTTTCATTAAGCAAACTAAATAGCCTTATGTTATTTATCTTATTTACAGGACGGCATGTCATTTCAGTCTCTACGTTATGGTCGCGCTCTCTGTATCACTCACAGCGGAGTTGCGGTTTTGTTTAGCACTTGTACTGAAGCGCGTGTACTCACTTCTGTGAGATACTGTATATCAGAAATTTAAACTGATATTGCTTTAAAACGCATGATTTTAGCACGATAGATGTAATAATCAAAACCAAACAGATGTTTTTTTTGGTGGAGATCTGAGATATGATCTGTAATGGCACAGCCCTGTTCTGGAAAAGGTGGCGAGGAGTAGCAGCTCATTTGCATTTAAAAAGACATACACAAAAACGGCGTGTTTCAAATAGACATTTTCAAAATAATATAATAAATGATCTGTGGGGTATTTTGATCTGAAACTTCACAGACACATTCTGGGGACACCTGAGACTTATATTACATCTTGTAAAAAGAGGCATAATAGGTGCCATTTAAAGATTTTAAATTAAAGATGTGAATTAGAGACAAAAATTACCCCATTACAAAGATTTGTAACTGTAACATGGTCACCAGAAAGGAAATGTATAAATTAACCAGAGCCTCATAGCATAATATTAAAATCAATTTAATTGAATGGCTTTTAAGATCAATAATTTATTTATGGTAATGAATTAACATAATAACACTGAAATTGACAAATGTTTTATTACTTTATGAAACGATAACACATTCTTAACAGTAGAACGCACTAAACATTAGGCAACTGATTTGCATATATTCATTAATCTTTATTGTACACCTAAATTGCAAACTTATTTTTGTGAAGTCATTGTAAAGTAGTTCTAATTTATATAGATTAGGATGATGTGTGGGATGTTTACAACTGGTGTTAGTGGCACTTGGAAAAAAAAGGGCAACACTGTTTATGTGCAGAATTACTCACATTGTGTGTTTTTAAATGCAGCTGAGAATTTCATGAGGCTCTTTTCATTAAAAGTGATCAATTTTTCTTCTTTTAGACCAGCTAAGACCGTTTCTTGATGATTCAGCAAGCAGCTTTGTTGAGCGTCTGTTTGAAGCTCTTGAGGAAAGTAGAAACTCCCGTGGCAATAAAGGAGCAGGAGAGAAGAACCGCAAAAGAGGGCTGAAGGTATAGTTTTGTGAGCCTCCTAAATTTATGGTTTCTGAAGGGCTTTTCACATTTCAACTAGTTATTGTGGGATCTTGTTTCTTGTCTCACACTGCTCATACTTTACCTGGGGGTAACAATTAATTTTGGGTATTCTTAAAGGGGTCATATGATGCTTTTTTAAAGATCATTATTTTGTGTATTTGATGTAACAGAATATGTTGACATGCTTTAATGTTCAAAAAACACATTATTTTTCAAATACTGTACATTATTGTAGGTCCTTTATGCCCCGCCTCTCTCAAACGCTTCGTTTTCTACAAAGTCCCGCCTTCCGACAAGCGCAGTCTGCAAGCACGCGTCGGAAATGTAACGCCCCTTACCATAATCGCGAGCATAAAGTGCTTTTGCTTTCGCACTTAAACACACAGCGTCTCCCTGACATGTTGCTTCAACACTAACTGCTGTTACTGAAACCATGCCTTCTTTCTTTGCGTGCACATTTGGGTGGCATTATGCAAATGTTTCCACATAGTGAGGTAGATATGTGGGGGTGTGTTAGAACGAGCCGTTTTAGGGGGGCGTGGCAGAGTCTTAACTTTGATAAAGAATATCTCTTTGGTTTTGAGACTTTAGTCTTTGCAACTTCAGGGATCTTATCTATGCACAATCAGCTTGTAACACTCCAAAGAGAAAGGAAAACTTGAAATCGCATCATATGACCCCTTTAAGCTGATGCTTCACAGTGTACATAGCTAAATCCTGGATTCTTGTTTGCATGTATGCTGTGTAAGTGTCATTGATAGTAAGAACACAGCAGTAAAAAATAGTCAATTTTTCATAAATTGAGTCAGTTTTTTCTGAAACTGACGAGGGGTGGGCAGTATGACCAAAATCTTATGTCACGAAATAGTCGTTTTTGCTTTAAGTAAGGTTTTTGTGAAATCAACATTTTATATGATTCTCATTATTCTTGTCACAATTGCCACAAGACTTAGCTGTTTCACAATTGTGATATTGTGTTCAATATCACAAAAAACTAATAGTATCTTAACTAACATAAGTAAAAAAAAAAGTAAAAAGTCTGTAATAAAACAAGAATAAATTACAAGCAAAAAAGACACAAACAAAATAGACCTAAAAGCTTCAAGCACTAGAAATAAATACTATTTAAATTTTGTTATTTATAAAAATAACACTGCATAGTTCTTACTGTGTAAATTAAATATAGATTTATACCTATTAAAGTTATAAATTGATTCAGTTGAGAGCAGCGAGAAATGATCTCTTTCATTGTTTTATTAACATTAATGTTAATCAAACATACCAAAATGTAGCCTGCTTATTGTGGAAGAAAGGTTTCAAATCACTTGTTTTTAAACTGTAGCACTTGAAAATGCTTGAATGAAAAAATACATTTAGATGACAAGCTTTTGTGATGGCGCAGCATGGAACTGTCACGTGAGTGTAACCGTGAGACAATAGTCCAAATTCTCTACCAGCTGAAAGATTTGGTCTCATGTCTATCGGTATATCACCCACCCCTAAAACTGACACTTAGGTAGGAGTCATGGTTAAGTAATCTTTCTCTGACTGTATATCTTGTCTTTTTCTTCTTTTCTATTTTTCCATATCTTTCTATATTTAGGAAGTGTTTGGAGATGAGGTGGAAGGAGTGAAGGATGGAGACAGTGTGGAATCTGCGGTAAAGAAGAAGAGGGTACCTCGCTTTGAGGAGGTGGAGGAACCACCTGTTTTACCTGGACCCCCTACAGAGAGTCCTGGCATGCTCACCAAAATGCAGGTAACGCACACATACAGACACACCATCAGTAAAGGTTGACACTAGACACAGAGCTATCTGATGGAACACATACACTGTAATGAAATGAAAGTTCATTACATTTTTATTTTTAAGTTTTATTCATTTAATAAAATGAAGTGTGATCATTGTTATATTTAGAACATATAATGACTTGATTGAATAAAACTGATATTGCTTAGTGCTGCACAAGTATGAAATAATTTCTCATGTAATTTTTTTGATGTACTGCCTGCATCAGTCTTAATACTATCTGTGATACTGTATTTTCAGATCAAGCAAATGATGGAAGCAGCCACGCGGCAGATTGAGGAGAGAAAGAAACAGCTAAGTTTTGTGGCTCCTGTCCCTGTCGTGCAGGTAAAAAAAAAAAAACAATACCAAGAACTTGTTTTATGATTGGCCTGTAGTATTTGTGTGTTTAGAAAAGCACTAGGGAATAAAAAATGGTGAAGTGCAACAATAGTATAATTAGAAAGAGTAGACAATAGGATAATACTGAGTAAAATACACATTTTAAAAAAATATTTCTTGTTAGACATTAAATGCAGGTTTACATGTAAGACTAGCAATTGTATGAGAACAGTAATGAGACCACAGTGTTTTCCACAGACTTAAGGGTGAAAATTCGGTGCGATGACGCTTTTGAATCAAAACAATAGATCCCTATGGGGCTATTCACACCAGGCGCGATCATTCGCGGCGCGAAAAAGCAAATATTTGTTTTTTTCGTCCTGTGTGTCGATTTTCTTTTCCCGTCGCTCCGTGATGAAACGGGCCGTCCAATCAAATTTGAGCTTAGATCACGTGCGTGGAGCAGCTGCTGTTGCACAAAAAGGAAAAGAGTAGTGGCGCTGTTTCGAAAACCAGTGTAAACAAACACCGAAGAAGAGTATTCTGAGAGAGAAGAGAGTGGATGCCGAGTTCCTGTTATCTTTGGTATCAGAGAACAGATTTATTCTCACATGTTCTTAAAATAATTTTTATTAATTCTCCACTGAGTTATGTGATCTGGAGAGCACTGTCCGTTTTCTTCCACGTGCGCGAGTGTTATGAGTCAAAACGCGTTAATTCTCTAGATCTTCTGTATTAAAAAAAAAAAAAATCAAGTAAAATATATATTTCTACACATGAAATATGAAAGCAAATAGACGTATGATTATGACGATATATTTTCTGTATGTGTTTTGTATGCAGCTCATGGTATTTTTATAACAATAAAGGATGTTTATGACAATAAGCAGTGTGGCGTTATTAAACATGCAAAGAGTGCTTGTCTGCCTATTATTGAATCAAAATCAACTATAGATCACAATCGGAAGTTATTACAAGCACCCGATGATGGTTTAAAGTGGGTTTTAGTGTTAATTTTGTCAGCAATTTTCAATTTTAGTCTTAGTCCCGTGTTAAATGTCCTTGATAGTTTTTATCATATTTAGTCAATCTTATCCTATTTAGTTTTAGTCTACTAAAAGTCTCAACATTTTAGTCTAGTTTTAGTCAATGAAAACTTGACATTTTAGCAATAAGATTATTATTAATTAACAATACAGCAGTATTAATTTTGGGAGCCATTTTTAATTTAGTCTTAGTCTTACTCAAATGTACATTTTAGTTAACATATTTAGTCAACCTTGTCCTGTTTTTGTTTCGTCAAGTTTAAGTCAATGAAATGTATGAGCATTTTAGTGAGGTTTTAGTCAAATCTTAGTTACATTTTCGTCATGCTGTATAATGGTTAAAATGATAAAAAATTATTTTTGCTCAAATTTATAATCGTAATGATTGTTATCATTTGAGAAATTTACTTTTGCATTTCAGGTAGTGCACTTTCACCAGTAAGCACAAATCAATAGAATGTGAACTCATGGTGTATTTTACCTCATCTGGTGTACTGATTTATTATAGGCTTTTTATTATATAAATTAATACCAAAGACTTATGCAATCTCTCTGTCTACACTATGAAAACTGCTAAAACAAATAAAAAAATATTTTAACAGTGCAATTCCAAGTAATTCCACTATAATTCAAAATTGCAACAGCCTATTTATCTATTAAAACAACAGCAGTTGAGTAAGTGCATTTATACAGCAACCACAATCGCAAACAATACAGTCGAGATCTCATCACTTAAGTCAGACTGGCTCGGTGACGATTAGATCGCTAAACTATATATATATAATATATACTGACCTGTTTTTTATTTATTTATCAAAAATTATAAATTCCATGAAATTCCGCGTTATACAGTAAATTCCGTTTTTATGACTGGATTCCGTGATCATAGGGCCCTACTAATGTAGCAAACGAATTTGTTAAGCTCATTGTGAGAGTAAAAGATGGAGACATTGTTGTTTATTTACTTAGCATTGAGTCTCTCCAACTAGGTGACAACATAGCATTAAATCACCATTCAACAGACTCGAGCCACCACCGCACTGCCGTCTATTGGACTGCAGAAAGATACTAACTTTTCAGTCTGCTACGTTACTGACTGTACTGACAAACTATGCTGACACTGTGTCAGCACGTCATAAATAGAACGAGGCATCAGTTTACTGCATCCAGTGTGGACAACATACTGAGTGTTCAATGTTAAAACATAAGCGGCAAGAAAATGACAGCGTGAAAATACATGCATTATATAGGTGGGTAAATTTGACCTGCTGGCGCTTTTAGGTATAAATGCCCCGTTTTTTTTATTTGGTTTTATCTAAATAATTTTTAACAACATTGGATTGTAAATTACATAATTTTAGTAAAAGTCAATGACTGGGAGACTTGAATGTTTTATTTTAAATCTGTTATGTACATTTGAAAAACAGCCACGGGTAAAATTTACCCCGTGGCGGTTCTAGTGTTAAAGGAGTAGTTCACTTTCAGAAGCAGCTGAGCTGCAGGCCAAGATCCAGTCCACACTGGCTATGAAACCCGGAATTCTGGGTGCTTTGGGAAACACAGGGCCACATAACCTGGTAGCCCTGGCTAACCTGCACGCCATGGGCATTGCACCACCGTGAGTGTTTTATACAGCTAAAAATAACAGTTCTTAGAAAGGGCATGTAGACATTTTTGGCAGCTCTGAAGAATATTGGGAATAAACATCATGTTTTTTAGTAACATTTTTTTTAATTGCAATGTTTTAATGTTTAGGAAGAATTTATTGCTAAAAAGAATTCAAGTTAAACGTTTTCTCATATTTGCTTACAGTAAAGTGGAACCACGTGAGGTCACAAAGCCAACACCCCTCATTTTGGATGAGCTTGGACGAACTGTTGATGCCAGTGGGAAAGAAGTTGAACTCACACATCGTATGCCCACTCTAAAAGGTACCATGTACTGCCACAGAAATATGAATCTCTCACTCTTCGTTGTTACTAATGTTTTTTTTTCTCTCTAGCCAACATCAGAGCAGTGAAGAGGGAACAGTTTCGGCAGCAGTTAAAGGAAAAGCCCAGTGATGACCTAGAATCCACGTCTTACTTTGACACACGTGTGGCCATCAACTCTGCACAGAGAGCCAAGAGAGGGTTTAGGTTCCATGAGCAGGGACGCTTTGAGAAGATCGCCCAGCGCATACGCACAAAGGTGGATAACAGAATGCCTCTTTATTTTTGACTCTAAAATCTATAGATTAAAATGGCTTGGAGCAATAACAAGTGAGAAACAATATTATCTTCTGTTATCAGGCTCAGTTGGAGAAACTACAGATGGAGATTGCTCAGGCTGCCAAGAAGACAGGCATACAGGCTTCCACTAAACTGGCTCTTATTGCCCCCAAGAAGGAATTGGGAGAGGGGGAGATTCCTCAGATAGAGTGGTGGGACTCCTACATTCTGCCTTTCCACATAGACCTGTAAGAGCCAACAGCTTTCAGCTTTTAAATGTCAGTAGACAACTATAAATCATGTAAGACAAATTGTATTTGAAATAAATTGTTTTAAATGAAATGGTTGAGCCAAGTGTAAATTGTCATTTACTTGCCATCATGTCTTTCCAAAGCCATATGACTTTCTTCCTGTGAAACAGTTGTAAAGAATTCAGTGTGACATTTTCCATACAATCTGGCAGTCATGTCATTCCTTTTGATAATTCATAACAGAATTTAGTGAAAATGGTCTTATTACATTTCTTCTGTTCTTTTTCTCAGATCTGCACATACAAATTTTGATGAGGTGGAAATGCATGGAGTCACCAACCTAGTTGAACACCCAATTCAGATGGCCCCTCTAGGTATTGATACATGCACACATCAAAACCTTCTACAAACAGAAACTGGTTGATCTAACCTTCTCTGTTTCTATTTCTCTCTCTCTCTTTGCATCTCTTTCTTAGTGGATACAGATAAGCCAGTGACTCTGGGTGTATATCTGACCAAGAAGGAGCAGAAGAAGTTGAGGAGACAAACTCGCAGAGAAGCCCAGAAAGAGTTGCAGGAAAAGGTCCGATTGGGTCTTATGCCCCCACCTGAACCTAAAGGTATATTTACCAGCTAGGCACCAGTCACAAAGGAGGTTTAAAATGTATTTAATGTTAACCTACCAGTCGAAGGTTTGGGCACACCTACTCATTTTTTATTACAGTTGTTTTTCAGCTTTAGATTTTTCACATCATAACTTAAGAACGTTTATATATATATATATATATTTTTTTTTTTTTCAGTTTAGGAGCTTGATTATAGCTTTGTGCTCTAACTATCTTATGTTCCTGTTTGTGTGCAGTGCGGATCTCTAATTTGATGAGGGTTTTGGGGACGGAAGCTGTGCAAGACCCCACCAAAGTGGAGGCTCATGTTAGAGCACAAATGGCAAAGAGGCAGAAGTGAGTAATTTCCAATGCACAAAGTATTGATATCAAAAGGGGCTTTCGCACTGCATAGTTCAAAGAACTCCGTTCTAGAAACTAGCCAACATGGTGGTTCCTAGAGAACCAATTTCCCCCTCTGGCTGTTTTCCTGGTTGCATTTGCACCGGCAGCAGGGAGATGGAATGTAAATGCACAATTTACGCGATTGAAAGAGCATGAAAATTTGACTAAATCTCATATGAAAACTTGCAGTGTTACATATCTTCGAGGCTGAGAAAAAAATAACACAACGCAGCAGACAACAGGTAGCCAAATGCTGTTATTGCTGTTTTCCATGTTCGTGGAGTAAATATTTTTTACGCAGCTTTTTAAAAATGCCGGGTAGCTGGAGTTTCATATGCATTTGGCCAATCAGCGTACACTTACATCACTGATAGTTCCTATAGAACTGTTTTAGACCCTACTCTGAAGTAGGAACTCATTTAGTTTCCCCAAACAGAGTTTCCAGAATTTATGTTCCTAGTTCCTGCAGTGCGAACACGCCAAGAAGTGGGAACTTCCACCAATGGTTCTAGGAACTATAAAAAGGTTCCTCCAATGTGAAAGAAAGCCCCTAAAGCCTCAAGTACCATATTTTCTGGAAAATAAGTTGCACTGGGCTTAATTTGCATTGAGAAAGAAAACGGATAAATCACAACAGTGTATAAGTCACATTTTATTTTTATACTCAGAAATAATGTAAAATACTGGTAAATAAAATGAGTTGTTTACAAACATTAAAAACGTGTATTTTAGTTCCCCTCACTCTGCAACAAATACTTTAGATTTAAAGGTATTCAGAACAGTAATAAAAAAAGTATAAAAATAAAAAAAACTATTATAGTAGCATGCATTATCAATGACATTTATTATAAATGACAAGCCTAAACAAATTTAAAGGAAAATTGAAACTATGGACCAGTAAACTTGGGCTTATGTACCAAGTTTCACATACTCTCATTCAGCATGAATCCAAATGTAAGTGTGTTTTTTGTTTGCTTGATGTTAATTGCATAATATAAGATGCTTTTCATTTCAGATGATTAAAAATGTGACTCATATTTGGGAAAATACAGTATCCCTTTCAAAGAAGATGTCATTTGTTTGCTTTGATGCATTGTGTGCATAGTGTGATGTTCACCGTGTGTGTTTAGAGCCCATGAGGAGGCAAATGCAGCACGCAAACTTACAGCAGAACAAAGGAAAGAGAAGAAGGTGAAGAAACTTAAGGAGGATTTGAGTCATGGGGTTCACATTGCTGTTTACAGGTACAAAACATGACAAATCTGCTCAAATTTTACATTAAAATACTATGTACATTAAAGTATTATGACACACTGAGTAAATCACAGACTAAACAGAGTCTTGTTAGACTCAATGTATATGTAGTCATCAGAGAATTATGCAGTGACCAAAAATGTCAAACAACCCAAAACTATCTTGTACTTCAGCTTCAAAGTACCCACTAGGTTTCAACTCTTGCTTGCTCTCAACTTTGGGTGTTATTTCAACCAACTTTGTGTGTTATATTCTGAGAGTATTGAAGGAGTACGCTTGTTAGAAATTAGTTGGTCTTTGTTTGTTTTTTTCCTTCCCTGTATGGTCTGCCGTTTTAAAACACGTTCTGTTATTTCCAGTGCTAAGTTGTTCTCCCCTAGTGGAAAAATATACTAAAATGTATTTGAAATACATTTTGTGCTAAGTATACTATAAATATGTTTGCATATTTATGTGCTTAATAAAAATACCCTGCAAATTGTATTTTGGGTATACTAAACTGGTACTAAACTAATTTTGTGCTTATTGCACTTTAATTGTGCAGAAGTAGTGCTGAGGTCCAATAGGGCTGTGCGATATGACGATATATATCGGATGGACAAAATAAAAAGTCTATCATTTCATATTATGCTCTATCGTTTATTTCGTAGTGTCGCAAAATACATTGTTTACTGTAATACTTTTTCATCATTTGGATGACTGTGATCTTTACACGCCACCACGGGGCGGGAAAGGGAGACAGAACCAGGTGGAGAACAACCAGCCAGGGAAAAAAAATGAGGAGCTCGTTCCTAAACGAGGGACTACATCTGTAACATGGACACATTTTTAAGCACTACAGTTTTAAAATAACCGATTTTTAAGCCGTTGAAATAGGGCTGCACGATTAATCTAAATTAAATCACAAAGTCGATAAATCATGATTAGGCAGAAGCTGCGATTGTCATGTGTATCTTTCAGTGAAGCACGGTTCTGTGATCAGCAGTAAATCTCCATCTGAAGGCCAGAGGGCGCTCTCTCGCACTGAAACTCCAAATACGCCTCGCAGAAGAAACCCAGGAAATCCCTATAGCGGTTGCTGAATAAACAGAAGATTTAACTGCTTTCATT